CCTGAAGCACAGCTCACCTGCAGGAGGTTTGTAGCAATTGGAAACAATTGCTTAGAGCAAGGTTTCTCAGCCTTGTCGACATTAAGATGTGTGGACTCAACTCCCAGAATTCCCTAGCCAGCCATCCTTTCTTAATAAATTCATGCAATACTTTCTTAATAAATTCATGCAATACTTTCTTACTAAAGCCATGACAATTGCTGTCTTAATATATTCATTCAATGAATACCATATCTTTTGTATTTTTAATCTATATGGCAGGGAAGAAGATAATCCATCTGAATGTGCAGTCCCTATCTCAACAGCACTTATTAAACAGATAGCCACCAAATCGAATACAAGTGGCACCATATATGAAATACTCGATGATTTCTATGGGCGCAGCATCTCCCCTCAATCTGTCTGGCCTTATACAAAGAAGGATTTTGCCAGGTATTATTCCTTTTAACTATTTCCCTTTGGAGATATTCTACTTGCAAGGGCAAAAATATCTTTGCAAATGATACATGATCTTCAAATAACTCATATTTAAGAAGCTTATGTACTTTAGGTTAGTTTTCTTTCATAAAGAAGGGGAAGGACATGCCTTGGATGTGAAATGTCCCATTCTCTCTCACTGGTATGCCCAGGACAGAGTTGAGAAAGGCCCTTTCTGAAATGCTAGAATGTCTTTCACTCATGATCCAGACTATTGTCTTTTGCCAAAAAACCCCCAAGTAACTGCCATTGTTCAGAAAAGACATTGAATACATAATTTAATTCTAGAAAAGGTAGCCTTACAGTCTTAGGGCAGAACAGTCCAGAAACAGAGTACAGTATTTGTACCAGCAGATTTGTTCCACAGTCCTAATTCAGCAAATAATAGTGTAGGTTACTTTGGTATCAATTTATCAATTACAGTTGTGTGAATGTAGTAATAATAACCAGAGCCATGAATGAATATATCAAAACTTCTACATAGCAGGAGAAGTACAGAATAAGCTTAAGACAGACAAAAACTGCTTGTAAACCTGGTATTCGTCTAGATGGACCTTTGGCTTAGTTTGAGCTGTTGTTTATGTTTGTTTATTTTTAAAGTGTTTGATAAGCAAAAGAAGAAAATGGCAGCCCAATTCAGCCATCTGGCACATACTATGTGAGATGGTTGAGGTTGTCTGTCCTCTCCCACAGTGCACAGAGCAATGCTCTATCTTCAGCAGTGCTTGTGGGAAGTCAAAACAGGCAAGATGACAGTTGTGCCATCGCAATCAAAGCCCTTCCTTTTTGTATGTGCTCCAGTGTAACTCAGAGGTGCAAAGAAGCAGTGAGGATGGTGATACCACAACCCCATCTTGACCATCTTGACATACACACCTGGTGTGTATCATAGATGTAGTGGGACATTTAAAAAGGTGGGACAGGATGGGTATCACAGCAGACTGGCAGACTGTAAGGGACCCAGCAGCAACCTGTCTGCTTTAGTCCTACAGTTTTCAGGGAGATTAGTTACGTAGCTGCAGCCAGATCTTCCTTTCAAAAAATAAGTAAATGAGAATAGGGAGATTTGCCATTAGGGTTTATGTAAATGTATTCAGCTCCTGAAGGATCTGTATGGATCCTGCAAATAGGTAGCTGGAATATCAAGAGGATTTACTTGAGCCCATACAGTTTTCAGTATCTTTTAAGCATTTCCCTCCTAAAGAAAAGACACTAATCTTTTCCTTTTGTAACTTTCCGTCTAAAGTGCATTCCAGGGCAGAGGGTAATTTTCCACATGGCAACATAGGGGTAGGAGGTGGATGAGGGTTAATATTTATTTTAAAAAATAACAATCGTATTTCTAGAAAGCATATGTACTATTTCAATAGCAAGAAACTGGCAACCAGTCTCATTGCCAGGTGTTGCCTAGAAAAAAACTTTTAATTCAATTACTTAAAAATTTCAGTTGCTTTTTGATCCTTGAATAAAGGCCTATTTCAATCAAAGGAGAGGACCTAAATCAGGGACAGATTTCCCTGATTGTCTTTCAGAGTCATATCTGTTAACAGGAGTATTACAGTGTAACAAAAGCTTTATGAATGGCAAGGATGATAAACAGCAAATCTTACCAATGAATTAACCATTTTCTTTTATCTCCCCTTTGATACGTTGCTTGGAACAGCAGTGAACAGCTCACTCAGTGGGATAGTCCAATGCGTGTGAAGCTGTCGGTGTGGAAGCCATGTGTGAAAACCCTGCTGATAGAACTCCTGCCGTGGGCTCTGCTGATCAATCAGTCCAAGTGGGATCTTTGGCTATTTGAAGGCGAAAAGATTGTTCTGCAGATTCCTACTGGGAAAACAATGATACCGCCAAACTTCCAGGCAGGCTTTCCATTTAAGTGTTATTTTCTTGAAGAAGTTTCCTTTTCATTTCATGTAGGTGGGGCTTGTCAAATCAGAGGTCACAAGGTCTTGCTGAGTCATGACCCAGGGCACAGGGCATCTTATTTTTATCAGTAGCTACACAAGTAGAGAATCACATAAGTAACAAGTGGCGGGCATTCTTCTGCCCGCTCTCCAGCTGAAAACAGGCCCACTTATCGAGTTAATTCTGTTCCTAATACAGGACAAACAGTGAGAAGTCTCTTTTTAAGATCAGCGACAGCTTCCGTTATTTGAGGTGTGAGGAAGTTTTATAGGTGTTTTTAAGTTGAGAAACAAGGATAATATGTTGGCTAGGATAGTGCATGCTTTGAAAATGTTTCGGAACAAGCATGGCATGTCCCTGTTTTTTGTCAAAATAGCCCAACTTTTTCAGGTGTCTTTGTGAGCCTTTAATAAATCCACTCATTAATGTTAATGTGACTCTTAAAGCATTAAGAGTTATAATGTCCTCTTTCTTTTTTTCTGTTTTCCACAGAAGCGTGGAAAAAGTTTTTAACACCAGAGAAGTGCTGCACTTGTGCAAATTCCAAAGTCTTTCTGTGGAATCATTTTTGAAATGTGCACAATCCTTATATTTACTCCTTTAGGGCCCTTAAATAAACTGGGCTAAAACCCTTTAATATAACTTAACCATCTCTAATTATCTACGTAGGACAGATTGATTTGTTAATTTAAAATACTTCTACCTAACTTTTTGTGCATGGCCTTCTGATGCTTTCTCTATTTACCATTTTTAAACCCATAGTATTTGGATGTAAAAAATTAGTCTTAGCCTTAGCCTTGAATCATACATTTAGCTGGGTGGGAGGGTGTGGTACAATAGGAAGATGTAGAAGTAACTAGAATGTCTTTCCTACAAGATATAAGCAGACTGGATCCCTACTTCATGCTAAGGTGTAATTGCACAAAGCTTTATATATTAGAAAGGTAGAACAAATGAAGAGGTAAAAGCAGTAGCATTGTGGGTTTCAAAACCAGCAGGATGAATGTCAATAGGGACATACAGAATCCTTCATCTAAGTAGAAAAAAATCAAAGGCCCAAGTGTAGTATTTGGGAGAAACACTGGACAGCGGTACACATGAAAAGGATCTGAGTGCCTTAGTGGATTAGAAGCTGAACAGGAGGCAACAACAGAGCAGTAAAAAAGACAAAGATGATCCTAGACTACATGGAGAAAAATTAAGTGTCAAGATCTTCATTCCTTTCTATTCTGCGTTGGTTAAAACATACCTAAAATACTGCTTCTAATTTGCATTTGCATTTTAGGAAAGTAAATCAGAACCTATCCAGAGAAGGTCAACCAAGATAAGCAGTCTAAAATAAGAACTTATTTGAAGGATGGCTGGAATAGTTGGGTATGCTTAGCCTAGTGAAGACAAGACCATAGAGAAAAACAATATCTCTCTTCAGGTATCTGAAGGACTGTCCCATAAAAGATGTTCCAATGTTTGTTTGGAAAGATAGAAGTCTGGAAATTCCCTCTGCCTAAATATCAAATGGAAGTATTAAGTAATGGAAGTGTTGAGGGTAATCAAATATTTCTATTTCAGGAAGCTTTTCAGATTGGAATATATTGGGCAAACAGTAATACTGTACACAAGTCAGTAGCCATTAAGCTAGTTCACAACATGACATCACCAAAATGGAAGGATGGCGACAATGAGGAGGTGGTAACACTGGATGAAGAAGGGTTTGTTGAAGCAGAGATCAGACTTGGATCCCTTCCAGGTCATCAGAAAGTTAGTACTACTAGAATTATATCCTAATCTTTAAAAGCAATAAACAAAAAATAAAGTATCTGCCAATAAGTTTTTTTTTTAATTGTCTCATTCAAAAATAACTAATTAAAGATATTCCAAATAGTCACTGGGTTACTGTGCTAGATTGGTCTTTCAAAGTAAATTAATAGCTGATCTTTCCCAGAACGGATTTCTTCTTGAATGGAAGCTGTTACTGGTGTTCCTGTGCCTATTACTCAGAAGAAAACAATTTGGATTCCAGCTCTGCTATTAAGTATAGCCAGGAATGGAGAACTAAATTGTTTCTGAGGACTGGATCCCATTTCTCAACTGACCTGGCAAACAGGATAATATCAAAAGCTCCAACCTTTTATCATTAGTTTGTCTGTGCAGGAAGAGGTAGGAGCAAGGGGCCCAAAGAATGGTTTTGAGGGCTATTTTTTTTTTCTCCTGTTGTGGCTAAGCAAAGATGTTCCTGCTTAGGTGCAATAAATAAGATGGTGGAAAGTCATAAAGAAATGGAGAACTGTCAGTTAAGTCATCTGTATTACAGAGCTAGAGAACTTCCAGTCTGGGAAGCCCCCCATCTCTGTTTCTCTGCACTTAACCAAAGGAATGCCTTAAGAAACAGTGCTCAGTGATTAGGCTTAGGAAGACATGGATTTTCCCATTAACTCTGTGTCGGAATAGGGCATCAATGGACACAGTTTTATATATCTTTCTCCAGGGCAATGTGCTTTTCTATTTTTTTTTTTCAAGTATAAAGACAAATTATTAACTGTATATGCTTAACCTTCTGTTACATTATTCTGCAGTTGTGTCAGTTCTGCATTTCTTCCATTGTTCGGCGTGGTATTCAAATCCTGCAGATTGAAGACAAGAGTATAATTGTCAATAATACCCCATACCAAATAAGTTGTAGGCCGCTGTTCTCTGTTACGAAGTCCCAGCTCAGGGAAGAGGTACAACTTTGATTACATACATTTCTTTAACATATGTACAAACTGCTTTGGGGGTAAACTTCTCTAAGCTTTACAACAGGAGGAACCTGGGTCTGAAGTAATGCTTTTCTTACTGAAGAGAAAACAGTGGACAAGGAATAAGAAATAATGGCCATTTTTGGTTATTCCAGTTAAAGGGTAGATGCCACAGTATAGTCAGCCATGGAAATGAAAAGTGATTGTTGCATAAATTTTAATAGTTCATAGTGTTAGTTCTCCCTGGCTCTCATTAGAAATTTAAGGCTGCCAAAACAGGAGCAGCGCAGTCTGGAATAACTATAGAACAGTTCTAAGAATTATGGTACAGCATTTTCATATAAAGTAGGTACATCTGTTGACAGCCTGAAACTGTTTGCAGCACCTAAACTTAACTCTGCTGGTTTATAAGCATTTCCGAAGCTCTGTATACAAAACATGTGAATAAAATAAATTTAAAACTGCAGAATGCTACACTTTCATAAATCCCTTCCTCAGAAACCAGACAAGTAACGTGAAGCTTGTGGCAGTCCTGAATGCACTTTATAGGACTTGTATTGATTTTTATTGAAATTGAGGCATTGGCTAGTATACCATTGTGCAGAACATGTTGGTTCTTTTTTTTACCAAAAAAAGGTGTGTGTCTCCCAATTTCATTCAAGATAACATTTTTCAGTGAAATAATGTGTGAGTTGCAAACTACTGCTGAAAATTGTATATTGCTCTGCTGTCCCTCTCAAGTTCTCCCATTCATTGGAATAATGAAATCTGAATATTGAGGGAGTCCTGACAAAGACTTCATCATACATGGAATGGCAAATTCTTCAGAAGTTTGCAATATCAATGTGTCAAATATTCTGGCAAATAAGAGTTACGTATTCTGTTTCTTCTTTTATTTATTTTTCTTGTCCTTGTGTTTCCTAGTTTTTACCAGCTCCAGACAGCAGAATATTCAGTGTTTGTTCTGCTACGGAGTCAGATGCTGCCAAAGTTTGTTCTGTGCTCTACTGGGACTTGATGCCTGACATTAGTCAATCCATTTCTGAGGAGCTTCCCATTCAGAAGTATATGTTGCTAAGCTTCAAACACAGCACAAATGGTCCCGACACTCCATGCTGGAGCTTACCAGCTGTCATTAGACAGGAATTCCCAAGGCAGAGCATAGCTGTACCTGTTGGTGGTAGAGATGAAAATGGATTCTGCACCAGGTATGTAGTCTGTATGTGAATGAAGCTTTCATTTAAGCGGAAATAGTGTTTGGTATTGTAGATGCATTAATGAAGAATGGATATTTAGATTGAGTCACAAGAAATTCAGTTGTACTTTTTGTATAACCCTCTTCATAAGGTGTCTGTTATTCAATATTAGAGAAAGTAAGGGTATTTGTTTCTTACAGTCTGTGCTCACTGTGTGTTTCCAATAAAAAAAGGAAAGGGGAAAAAAGAAATGTATAATATCTCACTGGACAGATCTTTTCTGACACAGTTAATGTGAGCCAGACGATACCACGATTCTACAAAACAAGAATGTTCTTCTTTGTGGTTACACATGTAGGTTTCCTACACCTGTGCAACACACTCTTGCGATGTCATGAAGCTCAGCTTTTGACAGGCTCCACTGTCACCACATTGTCTATGGTGCAGCTTAAAGGCAGTTCTTGCTGTTTACTTCAGTTCCTTTCAATCACTGCAGCAGTTACAAAAGCTGTTTCGTGGTTACATAAATACCAGAGAGGAAAGTAGTAGTAGCAGCAGCAGAAGCAGTAGTAGTAATGTTATTTTTCTCTGCCTCTAACTAGGCCCAATCTAAAGTAATGAAATACAGTGTCAAGAAATTGATACAAAAATACACTACAACTCATGTTAGTATCACAACTAAAATATAAGGCCGCAGTAATCTGTATGGCCCATAACATTTAAAACTGTCATTAGAATCTGTAACAGTACATTTTTGCATAAAGAATTAATAGTTAAGCCAGGTTCAGAAAGGGCCATAAGGAACCAAAGGATACATAAAAAAGAAAGCAAAATCTATGGAAGATAGATTTCTCCTTTTGCAACTCACTTTATCAGATGCATAGAGCGACTGGACTGATTAAGGATTTCTGTGTATCTGATGAAGTGTGCTGCTGCTATGAAAGCTTATGCCTTTTAATAAAATGTGTTAGTTGGAAAAGATGCTACCAGACACCTTCTGATTCTTTGCCACCATAGATATAACACAACTCTCTTCCAATGAGTTGTTGGGAGTTGGGCAGCATACAAAATAAATACATAAAGTTTATATCCTGTGTTCCCATGAAGTAGCAAATCCTTCTGAAACTGTAGAAACTTGACAATTTCATCAGAACACCATATTCAGAAAATCAAAGGCATTCTTAATTACTACTATTCAGTTATGAAATTCACTCTCTTCAGAGTTTCACTCCAATCAGAGCATTAGTAACCCGAGAAAGCACTATGAAGCCTTTTGGTGTGGGCCAACTGGAATTAGGTGCAAATTCAGTTGAGAAACGATATAATCCTATGATATGTGCAGCCTCATATCACATAGGAGATGGAAATACTAACAGCAAGGATGGAGGAATTGCTATTTGCATGGTTGGGAAAGGTAGTGATGTGCTGTATTTGTTACATAAAAAAGATCCCACTTTTGTTTCTTTCATATTTATGCTTTTCATTCCATATCTATGACAGCTGTCAATGATGCAAATGATTTTGTTCTTGAAGCTTCAGGTGTTTTGTGAACAATGAGATTTTCATAATCCAACCTCTTCCACTGGACAAGGTAGATCTCTCCCAGTGCAGTAGTTTGAGAAGAAAGGTAGCTATTTAAAATTGCACAATTTATTTGAAAGAAGAGCAAATGAGAAGAATAGGAAAGAAAATTAATGAGGGAAATGATGATCTGGAGAATATAGAAGGAAAATGTCCAAGTTTTAAAGGCACCCTATATCCAAAGTTGCATTCCCCTTTTAAAATAAGCCACTCCTTACAGTAAAAATTCCATTGCTGATTAGAAAACTTGATTTCCATTTCCTGTCCCAAACCTGATTTTGTTCTTAGAATATGCTGTAGATATAAATAAGAAGCTACATAAAGTTGAGTAAGATCAGAATCAACCATATGGTATTGCCCTTAGAGTGAGCTATGTGGGAGATGCTTTGAAGACAATGAGTTTCAATCCCTAAGCACTGAGGAGGGGAATACCTTATATCGTTTCAATCACTCAACAGTGACTTTTCTGGGTGATTTATGAGTAGTGTGGCTGAGCTTCAAGAGATTCCAAAATAGGTCTTAGAAGAAAAGTTGCTGACAAAACACAGTAATCCTAACAGACATCAGCAGGACACAATAGCAAGTAAAGATTCCTGGCTTGAATAAGTGGATAAAAACTGATACATTTTTTATCCACTTATTCTAAGTTTATTCTCTGTTTTACAATAAAAATCCTGTGTAGACTAGACATAGATGCTCAACATACATGAGAGCTCAGTTGTTTGCTCATTTCTCCTTAAATAATATAGTAGACAAATTATCTTCTTTTTTTATCCAGCTGCATGCTGTACAACACAAGATTTTCATTTTTGTGTGTGCACATATGTGTGTATGTTATTATTTCTTGGATAAAGATGTGTGGATTATTTTTTAAAAATGACTGCAATTCTATAAACGGATCCTGGATAATTGTTCTAGTGTACTACTTTCATCTTACAAATATTTGGATATTTGTTTCAAACAACTGGCCATTAAACTAACATGGGAAACTGCTACTGAATCAGGTCGTTTTCATCAACACTGCCTGGTTTTCCAGAGTAACCTTGGACTTTCTTCATGGAAAGCATACAGAGAAAATAGTTTGCTCTTCCGGCATTGAAAATATTTGAGAAGATTTTAGCACATCACAGGAATTTGGTTCAAGGAGCATTTTAAATAATTTTTAAATATTTGTTTTGCTAGTATACCTAGTCTTACATGTTGAAGAGTATTATCAATTTCTATGACAGTGAATAAGGCCATAGTATTTTTAATAAGATTGATTGATATCGTTGATCAATATTAAGCAAACATTGCTATTTAGAAGAAAAAATAGTTCAAGTTCAAAAATAGTGTCCAAATTTTTCTTTCATTAGATCTTTTTAACACTATACAGAATTTAAAAAGACGTTCATTATATTCACACGATGCTAATAAATATTTGGGAAATATTCAACAAACAATTTAATAAATAGGACCATTGTCAAAAGTGTAAGAGTACACTCTTAAGTTAATTCCAAAACAAATGATTTGGGGTTGAGGAAGACCTTATATTTTTAGATTTTGTTATCTGGATGAGACTTATGCCAATAATCCCATATTTCAATTACTTTGTATATGTGGGGGCTAAAAACTGAGAATATTATACGCTAAACACTTTTTGTCACTTGTATGCTAATCCAAAGAAAAGATGTTTAGACACTTTGCTGAAAGGAATGTTTGATAAAACATTGCTTGAGCAACTGTGTGAGGTAATTGCAAATAAGAATCATATAACAAATCAATTTGCTTTATTTACTATTGTTGCAAAATATATGAATGAAAGTTTTAAACTAATGGCTGTAAGTTATTAACATGCTGATTCAATTTGATTAATATGTTTATTTTTATATATATCCTATATAAGATTCTGATTTCATTCATATTCTCACATCCCTGTCATTCATTATGCTGACAAATACGTTGATTGCACATGTTGCTTTTTACTACTCTTCTGCATTTATTTTGTATAAGTGGTGTTTGATGCTGGAGAATTCTTTGGAGTAGTCATATCAATGCTATAGAATTACCCTTTTAAATGAAGGGCACCTTTAGGGGAAATCTTGTACCTATGATTATTTTCTCATGTAAATCCTTTCGTATTATAACTACTTCCCCTCTTGTTTTTCTTTGTTAAGGTCTTCATAAGTGTAATGTTACATTTTTTAAGATAGGAAGATTTTGGATTTTAGAAGGAAAAACTTCAAATATTTATTCTTTAATATCTCACTATGAAGATACAAAGTTTTTAACTGCAGATGAACTTTTCTTAAAGAAATGTGTAATGTTTCAATCTTGTTTAGAGCCATAGCTCTGACTTACCAGGAACATCTTGGGGTGACATACTTAACCCTATCGGAAGATCCTAGTCCTCGCATAATTATCCACAACAGGTGCCCTGTCTCACTGCTTTTGAAAGAGAACATCAAAGGTATGTCATTTTTGTTGCTACAGCATAATGCTTAAACCTTTTAATGAAGAGGCTTGTTCTCCCTCAACTCTTTGTTTCAATACATTTATTCAAAATGAAACATATTTAAGCCAAACATTAGAATGCGTAGGCAAGGGAATGAAAGGAAGATCCATAAAATAAACAAACAAGAAAATGGTATGTACTGCTAATCTGTCAGAGTTCATTAGAGGCTAGACTTGCATGTTGAGATATTATGGAATTGCACCATAAATTCAGACATTATTCTTTAAAGCGCCTGTTTGATATTTCCTTAAATTCCAGACACACCAAAGTTTGCTATTTACTGCAAGCATGTTCCAGCTGAAAGTTCAGTGCACCATGAGCTTTATCATCAAATTTCCAGCTATCCAGATTGCAAAACCAGAGAACTGGTCCCTAGCATTCTTTTAAAAGTTATATCATCAGAGGAATTAACAAATGAATGGAGTGATTTTGTGGACATTAATAACCAAGGCACACAGGTTAGTGGTTTGGTTTGGTTTTAAATTCTGAGTGTTGCGGCATAAAGTATTTTGACAGTAAAAGATAACATTTGCATAGAACAGATTATAAATCCACAATAATAAGAAACTAATATCCACCAATTAAAAATAGGAATTAATCACAAATAAAGGGCCTGATAATATGAGTGCATTTTCTAATAGCAGAAAGATTTTCTTTTTGTTCATTCCATGTTATTCTGTTTCTAGGTAGGTGCACTAACTCATATGCCATTCTTTTATTTTATTTTTAAAAAGCAAGAAATATCTGCTAGGAAAAAGAGATTAATGTGTTGATCCTCCCATGAGAGTCTAAATTATCTTTTCTTAAATAGTTGTTTTTTCTATGTTTTAATACCTTATTGATTTGAGGGCAGTTGTGTTATTGTAAGGATAGAAATATAATCTTTTTCATGCTTTTAAGAATTGTGAATATTTTTTTACATTCAATCCTTCATTTCATTTTTCAATCTCATCAATTGACATGTGCTTTCCATTGTACAGAAACATTTGTTGTTTTGGGTTCAGTGTTGGAAGCTAAGATTGTCTTATAACAATTAAAATGTGCATGCTTTCTGGTGCCTTTTAACTATATTTAAACAGAGAACCACAATTCAGGCAAGGAATTATGGAATGGTATCGTTTTTCTGCTTCCAATCAATGTTCCTATCCAAAGTGTTTTGGGGACAGGTGAAGGTTGGATAAGGGTATCACTTTAAGAACAAACATTAAGTCTCATATTTGTGATTACTTTCGTTTTAAATATTTAACAGTGGCAGAGCTTGTTTTGCTGAATTTAATAAAACCTTGTATTATTTAGTTGCATCATGAATATATGTTAAGTTTTATAGAGCAACAGATTTAAAAGGGAGAGAAATCCTGGCCAAGGAGTTTCCAGACCAAATGTTGATAGTGGGGACATAAAAGGAATGAGGGAAGATAATAAGGAAAACTTACAGGGAGGTGAGAGGAATGATAAACACAACACTACCAAGGGATTAATATGAGCAAATGCTATAGCTTTCCCAGCCGAAGCTAAAAAATAAAATTAAATAAGCAGATTCTGTTTATTGCTGAACAAGCACTTGGACCGTAGAATTGCCACCAAAAGAAGAAATATTGTCTCTTTCCTTGGTCTTCTCCTGCAAAGTTATCCATCATTGTGGGGTGGGGGTTTTGTGCTTCCCCAGAAGATCCCTTAGTAAACATTTTAAAGAGAACAAAGAGGGCTTGGATGGGAAATGGATTTTCTCAGGGGCAACCTGGATTCTGAGAAATGAATGCTACTTTCAGTCTATGACTGGGTTTCCCAGTGAAAGTTCACATTTTTTATGATATGAAGGTTTTTATCCTGAGAGCAACAGCTTCCACTGCTTTTTCTGCAGGTTTCATTTTCTTGGTTATATATTAAAGTTCAAAGAGCTTTTGGTTACATTAGTTAAAACTTATTTGCCAAATGGAACTCTATCTTGAAATCAGAATATTGAAAAAGTAAAAAATGTGTATCAAGTATATAATTTCTCAAAAACACAGAACTTACAATTCCTTTGCATTTGAATTGGTTCGTTCTGCTTGTAATTTTGGCACAAAAATGAAAGCAACTCTGATATCATAGGATCATAAGTTGTTTGCTCTTTCAGTTGAGCCATTAATTTAAGTGCTCTTTCTTCTTGTAAGAAAATGCAGTAGATACTAACTGAAATTCCCATCTGCCATTTGCTATCAAAGCCAACTTTGGCTCAGATTCCAAAGTGTTCAGAAACAGGCAGGAGTTGCAAGGGCAAAAAAGCACTTTTCACAATGCAAGTTTAAAAGCATACTTGATGAAGGCAAATGTCTGTAAATCTAAGAAACTAAATAGTAGAGCTTCCTCTGCTGTGTTTATTTGACCTGAGGAATTAATTGCCATCAGGAAATCTTCAAAGAAATAATTCAACAAGATGTTACAGCAAGATGTTATTTCATGTTTCAGAAGAGTGCTGTGTCCACTAATAACATCTGTAAGCCAAGATAAGTGTAATCTAGAAACAAAAATAATTTATCAAGCTTTTAATAACATGGATACATTTGAAAAAAGCTCCCCTCCCCTCTCCCCTGGTTAGGTTAGCACATTCCAGGGTTTTTACCTGCCTCAGAAGCAATGATGTTTTGCTGCTGGTAGGAATATAGATGTAGAATGAGTGGCTTGGTGACCTAGTTAAATAAGTAGCAGAGACCTTCTAGACAAATTAACCTCAGCATGTTTCAGTTTATATATGTAATGATATTTCTATTTTCAATAAATCTATGAATTTGAAAATTAATAATATAGTTTTTGAAAAGCAAAGGATGATCCTTTGTTGAGTTGGGCAAATTCCTCTGCATCCATGCTGGAAACATTTGAACTGGACACACTCTGGAACCAGTACGTGAGACAAAAGGAAATGCATCACAATATAGTACATACAGTTCTCCAAGAAAACTGCTAATGAGGGTAACTATCTTCAGCGGTAGCAAAGACTGCCGAAAAGTTTAGGGTACTTATTAGAGCCACATTCCCTGTCTGTCTTCTGGCATACGTTATCAAACAAAGTAACCAGAGCCTTATCTGTTCCTGTCCTCAGTCTGAAACTAGTTAAAATGGGTCTAGATAAACAACATTATCCAAGACTCTGGAATACATAGCTGTCAGTGATTCAACATCCATCCTAAAAAACAGTACATTGACAATAGATCATTAGTGCTTCAATATGTAATACTTTAGAAGTAGCCATACAACTGTGTATTTCAATATGGCTGGGTATTCTTTCATGCAAGATTTAGCCAAATGTTCTGTCCTTGCTAGATGTTAAAAGCCAGTGTAGACAACCATTCTTATGGAGGGAAGATGGACCTTGTGGAATTCTTTGAAAGACACGTAGATGGTTTTAAGCTAGGAAATGGGGCTACAACATATCACACAGCACACTCCTATACACATACCCACACCAAGTATACTCATAGACATACAGCACGTACCAATAAGATTTCTGAGCACAAGACCATCTTTAACTCCCTTCCCCCAAGTGATTTTAATTCAGTGAAGATCATTAAGTGTGACAAATTAAAAGTTCCTATTCTACCCCTTCCTTCCCTAATCCTAATGAAATAGCTATTGGGGGAGGGATTTCTCTCCATTCATTATACCTATGTTTGTTTTTTCCCCAGAATTAAACAAGTTTGAATGCTTATGGAACCCAACATTAAGCACAAAGGCAATTTGCATTTCAGAGTTTTAGGATGGAACAAAGAGCTAAAGCATTTTTATTAGGTCTAATTGGATTGAGACTCCTGTACTAGCTATTTATGAATATAAATGTACATTAATTCTGCACTGAAGATAAAATGATTAGTATAATATGTAGTTTATTCCAGTTTTTCAGTCAATGAGTATTTGTATAACAAGGTAATATCACTGTTATTTGGATTTTTGTTTGATTAAAAATAAATAGCTCAAAATGTACTATACTCTATGACCTGAATAAAATGTGTCTTTCAAAACAGTGATTCCTCCTGCAAATTTTCTCTGGAGGGTCCTCTGTCTAGAATAGAATTTAAGGGAGGGAAAAGCTGTGAAGGTAGGATCAACTTTATAAAACACTGCCAAGAGATCTAAAAAGATGAGGAGGGGTGCACTCTTCCATCCCAATGCATGTCATCCAGCTGTGCAATTAATGCAGCTTTTATCCCATGCTCAGGCCTGGATCCAGATAATATACTTCCTCTAAGTGCATTGCATTTGGAGCCCTATTGTTCTCCACAACTTTCCCCAGGAAGGGAAGATTGGAGACTGGATAGTAGCCATCTAACATGGCTGAATCCAGTGTGGGCCCTTTCAGGAGGTGATACGTTACTGTCTCTTTCAAGGCAGATGGCACCACCCCATCTCCAATGAGACTACTGCCCATCTCTTTGATCCAGCCTCCACTTGCTTCTGAAAAAGCCAGTTGGGGCAGAAGTCTAGATCAGGCGTCCTCAAACTTTTTAAACAGGGGGCCAGTTCATGGTCCCTCAGAATGTTGGGGGGCCGGA